TATTTTTTACTGTATTTCCTATGTTGTACTTTCTATCCCTGTGACTTATTTATTTTATAACTAGAAGTTTGTACCATTTAACCCTTTTCACTTATTTTGCCCATGTCTATGCATTTTTTTCATGACACCTTAATATGGTGGTTCACACACTTGGCTTCACAGGTTGCAATCCAGATCAACTGCATAGGAATCTGTGGTGGTAGGGCCTAGAAATAAGTAGGTTTAAAGCTCCCCAGGTGATTCAAATGGGAAACCAAAGTTGAGAACCACTATGATGATAGAATGTGAGAGAATTGATAATCCCATTGTAATGTGTATTCATCAAATTAGAATGTTTCACTTAGTCTTGGACAATACCTTTTACAAACTGGAACCCATTCAGAGCAGTGTGACCAAACTGGTAAGAGTACCTGCAGTCATACAAACTATGCCATGAGGAACTGTTGAAGGAACTGAGTGTGAGCAATCTCAAGGAAGACACAAAAGCTGTCCTCAAAGGAGTGTGCCAGAGGGATTACCCTTGTTCTATTTGGTTCCAGAGATGAGTACTAGAACCAAGAAGATGAAGTAACAGGAAGGCAAATTTTAATTCAATAAAAGGAGTAATATTTTAAGAGGGCTGTCTAAAGATGTTATAGGCTGCCTCAAAAAGAAATGTTTGCCCTACAATCTGAAGACTCCAAACCATTGGGCTGCTTAACCAGTTGGTGAACAGAGTGTGGAGAAGGCTTGTGTTAGTCAAGACTCTTTTTGTGGCACATGAGCAGAAACCCAATTCAAAAAGCTTAAAAATAGAGTCTATTGTGTGATATAATAGGGAAGTGATTTCAGGGAGGGCTGGTTCAAGGGATCAATTGATATCATCAGACTCTTTCTTGCCATTTTTTGGAGGGGGCCCTGTTTGTCTTTGCTTTCCTTTATTCTGCATTTAGGCTCTCTCCATTTGACGTCCTGGCAACCCCAGTAGAGATAGAAAATATTTTCTGATACTTCTCAAAAGAGATACACTGATTCTAAATGGACCAATGTGGTCAGAAAGAGAGTGGTGTGTGTGTGTGTGTGTGTGTGTGTGTGTGTGTGTGTGTATTTGGAGAAGGGTGAGGGGAATTGGATGCACAAAACAATAAGAGTCTTAGGCATTGGATGGGGTTGAATAAGTGAAGATCCCTCTTAGCCCTGGGATTTTAATATTATTTGACACCATGGCCAGAATGTAGCAATAAGTATAGACCACTGAGTCTTCTTATGGTTCATCAAATATAATCTTTTGTCTAGTCAGGCCCATCTATTTTTCATGCCCTTCCCCATATTCATATCTTTGCTTGTGTTGCTTAATATTTCTAAAAAACCCTCCACTTACTACACTCTAATCCATAGTTGAAGACTCATCTCAAGTCCTGCCTCTTCCTCTGCTGTAGCTGAGCTAGTGTGCACTGATTGCACCTCCTTTGAACTACTACAGTGCTCTTCACAATTACATATTTCCTGATGTCATGTCTTGATTTTTTTTTTGTTTTTCCATATGAGTCTTTGTAACTGTATTGTAACTGTAAGTTCCTTGAGAAGTAGGGGCAATTCCTCCTCCTTTTCTATTCTTCCTGTGCCTAGCATAGAACAAATTGGTTTGTTCATTGAAATGTTTTGATTGATGGTCATATATATATATATATATATATATATATATATATATATACACCCATCCCTTTACTACTACATGTGAAACCTCTGTCCTGCAAGTAATAATGGATTAGATGGCAAAGATGGGAGCATTGCCATAAGAGGCCCTCTGTGGAAATGACTTACACTACTAAAAAAGGCACTGTAATTCTTTGTCACTGGTACAAGCTCTGCTCCATGCTTATGCTGCCAAGCTGGTGTCCTTGCTTTTGGACTCTAGGAATGGGTACTTTTCTGGGATTGGGCCTTCAATCATTCAGTGATTACTGAAAAATTTATTAATCACCAATGTTATTTCAGGCTATGTTCTAGTTATGGGGTGATATACAAAATCTCTGTTCTAAGGAGCTTGGAGGGAGAGACAGAAAAACAAGATTAGGTAATTATAATATAGTATCATGGGATTCCAGTTATGGGTTAGATGAAATAAGCATACTCTACCTTGTTTTCACCATTGTATTATAGCTGTAAAATCTGAACAGAATGAATGGATCATTGAACAGTATGAAAGGTAAATAGTAGCAGATTGGGGGAGAAAAACAGAAATCAAAGTATTAACTGAACTGGTGATAAGTATGCCATTTAAAAATTCTGCTATACCCTGGCCTGAACTCAGCACACTAGAATCCTGTTAAGCAGCCATCAGGGAGCAGACAGAGAGAGCTCTAGGAGAAGCAATCTAATTCTGGCTCAAGAATGGAAAAGGGGATGGCACCTGCGTGGCTCAGTCAGTTAAGCGTCCAACTCTTGATTTCAGCTCAGGTCGTGATCTCACAATTTTTGAGTTTGAGCCCTGCATCAGGCTCTTCACTGTTAGGATTCTCTCTCTCCCTCTATCTCTGCCCCTCCCCTGTGCATGCTCTCTCTCTCAAAATAAATAAAATTAAAAAAAAAAAATAATGGAAAAGGGAAATCCTAACACTTAGTGTGGAAGTCCTCCTTTTTTTCTACTCTTTTCTGTTTTCTTGTGTTCTGGCTCCCATTCTGTGGCAATAGTGGCAGCAGCTGATAATTGGAGCCTGTAGGGGCTAAAACTTTGAGGATAGGGAATTTTCCTCCCTTTTTGTTGGATCTGTGGTTCACAGAGGGTTGGGCTAACTTCCATTGCTTTTTTTCCTCTCTCTGTCTCCTATTGCTTGGACCCAAACAAGGGTACAATTGCAAAAGTGCATTGTAGAGTAGGGTAACTAAAGCCTTAGCTTTCAGGCCAGAGGACTACACAAAAATAGCCTCAGGGTTCTGAAAAGTGCCGAGGAGATCATAGAAAAGGAGAAGCTTGGGAAAGTGACCTTATAAAGTTGTTTATGGGGGCGCCTGGGTGGCGCAGTCGGTTAAGCGTCCGACTTCAGCCAGGTCACGATCTCGCGGTCGTGGGCTGATGGCTCAGAGCCTGGAGCCTGTTTCCGATTCTGTGTCTCCCTCTCTCTCTGCCCCTCCCCCGTTCATGCTCTGTCTCTCTCTGTCCCAAAAAAATAAATAAACGTTGAAAAAAAAAAAGTTGTTTATGAACTACAGAGCTCATCCCTGAGTGAATATGTGTGGATTAGGTCCTATTTAGCAGACTAAACTCTTTAAGAACTGAACAGATAGACCACCACCCAGGTCTCAGACTATTCACTTAATGGTGAACATGTGAAACATACCTGGATAGTGCTGTAAAGGCTTTGAAAATGGAATAAACTTTGGAACCACAACCCACAGATGTTGGATCAGAACTTTCACTTGAACCTAACCAGGTTGACTGCCTGCTAAAACAAAAACATCAGTATCAACATTCTTCATAGGATTTAAACAATTTCCAAGACCTGATAAGGCAACATCTAAATTATCCAGGATACAATCCAAAATTATTAGGCAAATGAAGAATTAAAGTCTTAACTCACATGAGAAAAGACAATCAACAGATGCCATCCTTGATGACAGATGTTGGAATTATCAGAAAAAATTAAAGCAAAGCTATTATAAAAATACACTAACAAGGGCAAAATCCTTGAAAAAAATAGAAAAATAGAAAGCCTCAGCAAAGAAATAAAAAATATAAACACTAACCAGATGGAAGTTTAAAGACTGAAAATATATAATAAGTAAGACTTGAAAAAGATTGCTGAGTGGGCTCTGTAGCAGAACGTCGTCAGGATGATTTCATGGACTAGGTTACACTTCAGTTGCTGCTTGAAGAACAAATGAAAATGAACCAAGTGGGGAAGAGTTGTATTAGTTATCTATTGCTAATAGATAGCTATCATTAATTAGTTATCCCAAACATAGCTGTTTAAAACAACAAATATTAATATCTCACACAGTATTTCAGAGTCAAGTATCTGGGAGTGGCTTAAATGAATGGGTCTGGCTCAGTCTATCAAGAGGTTGCAATTAAACTGTCAGCCAAGGTGTAGTCATCTCAAGGCCCAGCTGGGATTGCAGAATCTGCTTCCAAGCTTACTCACATGACTGTTGGCAGGCCCCAGTTTCTTGTGGGCTGTTTTTTTCCTTGCCACATGGCCCTCTCTCTAGGGAAACTTAAAGCATGGCAGCTGGCTTTCCTCATAGCAAATGATCCCAAGGGGAGGGTCAGAAAATCAAGATGGAACCCACAGTATTTTTTATAACCTAATATCAGAAGTGACATACCATCTCTTTATTTGTTTGTTAGAAGTGAGTCATTAAGTCCAGGTCATACTCAAGGGGAGAGGAATGAGACTTCACATCCTCAAGTGGGGAAGTATCAAAAATTTGTGGACATATTTTGAAAACGATTACAAGGGGAAATATTCTAGGAGGAGGGAATCAGATATGCAAAAGCACAAAATCAAGGGAAATAATTAAAAATGGACACTGGGGGCTGTTTCTGTCTCTATTTAGTTCAGTTGTGCCTGTTAAGTACTGGTTGAGGTGAAGGTTCTATAAAAGTCCGATAGGGGCACCTGGGTGGCTCAGTCAATTAAGCATGTGACTTCAGCTCAGGTCATGATCTCGTGGTCCATGAGTTCGAGCCCCGTTTTGGGCTCTGTGCTGACAGCTCAGAGCCTGGAGCCTGCTTGGGATTCTGACTCCCTCGCTCTCAGCCCCTCCCCCACTCATGCTCTGTCACTCTCTGGCTCTCAAAAATAAATAAACTTTAAAAAAAAAATTTTAAAGTCCGATAATCCTCCAAAGACTCCTACTTACCTGTCCTGTCTCTTTGGGGAAGGCAGCAGGTCCAGGTTAGTGCCTTCACACTAGGAGATAAATAGGACCTGTAACCCTCACAGTATTTTGTCTTAGGATCTTGGAACAAAAGGGAAAATATAAAAATATATTTTCTTTTAGTTGTAGGTGTATGCGTTTACAGTAGCATGGAAAAGTAGCTTGGAATTTTAACTGGATGCTTATTGTCCTTGATAATACTCCATTCTGCCACTGTCTTCCATCTTCTTACTAGCTAAATAATTGTAAGTCCGTTCTGCTGTAACGTCTGTTTGTTCCAATGTGATTGATATATCAGTGGACAATCTGAGCATGACATGAATTTTGTGTTTGCTTGAGCATGATTCCATCAGTAAGAAACACCAGGTGAATGCAGAAAACAGCACCCAGCTGAACTGAGCTGTAGGGTAATACACAAAACACACACGTCAAACATATACTAGCCACAGCCATTCACATTTAGTTTTACAACTTTTCATCTGATTTCAGATAACACTCCTTTCACCACTTCACAATAACTCATAATCTGCCATGCCCACATCCACAAGCAAACTTTAGGTTTTTTCAAGTTAAAGTGCCATTTTTATTGTAGTATTTATGTATTTCTTAACCATTAGCATGTGTAAAACTGTGCTGCCTTTCTTACCTGGTTTTTAACATGTTGCTGATATTTTTATTGTTGTTCCTCTAGTCCCATTTTCCCCATAAGCCCTGTGGTTTTTATTGTGTAATTTTGCATAGTGCAGCAATTTTTAAAGAATACATATATCATGTTATAGGAAAACTGACTGTATATATATGTCTTTTAACTTACCTAGGACAGTGAATTTGGGTGGACTTGGCAAAGAATGAAAATCAAGTCAGTGAAGATTCTGTGTTGTGGAGGCAAAAGAAAAAGAAGAGAAACATTCAAGTACAGTGGAGATGCTTATCTTCAGTGGTGAACCATTCAGAGCCTCTATCTGAAGACTCCTTTGGTGGATATACTCACTAATGGCTATTTGGTATTCTAGTGTCTGGGCCTCCTGCTCTTCTGACCTTGAGTATCCTCTTCCATAGCAAACAACTCTTTTTCTTTGGAATATAGTGCAGCGAATAGGGTAGTGAGACATTGTCAAAGAATTTGGACTTTGTTCCCTTGCTTCTCTGATCTTGAGCGAGGCAAGTAGTTCCTGCCAACTTCATATTGCCTCTGAGGACACAACTTTAAGACCTGCCAGGGATTTTTCTTGACTTTGTATCTGTGGCACCTGATGCTGAAGTGGTCATAATCAAGTTCCAAAGTGGTCTGGAGCATTTGCAATACAGAACCTGCTTCTCTTGCTACTTGGACCATATTCAAATCCACGGGAGGAGGCTGGGGTAAGTTTAATTCTTTATTCCTCTTTCTCTTTCTTTTCCTCATTATTCTTTCTCTTCTTCATCTTTATTGAGGCAGTGCCATGTAGTAGTTGAAAATGTAGGTTCTGGGTCTACTGTGTAATGGTTGTATGACCTTAGGCCACTTACTTAACTTGTCTGCACTTCCATTCCCTCATCTTTAAAACTGAGATTATAACAGCACCTAACTCATAGGCTTGTTGTGATGAATGAATGCTATAATCCACGACAAGCACTTAGAACTGAGCTAGTTGCTTTACACACATGTTCTTAATCAATACCTAAAGTCTAAGGAGACTATATCCATTTAGGACCAAGTGGAGATAAAAAAGTGATTCTGGGCTATTAAATTCTGTCAGTGGGGAAATGTAGTTGCATTTGTCCACAATGCTTCAGGACTCAGCTATTGCCTTAAAAAAGGTACAATTGTGATTGCAATTTCTATTTATGGAGCTCATAAGCATTGACCCATTTCTTTCATTAACTACTACTTTACCTTGGGCCATGGCTGCCAATGTAAAGTTGCTTCTATAGACCTTTGAATAAATATTGGATATTTAGGTCACATAACTCTAACAACAGAAACATTTTAGGCTGTCTGACCAGTATATTAAATAAAATGTTAAATGAGACTGTGATCTAACCAGATCACAGAGATTTTTGTCTTTTTGTCTTATATCTCCTCAACATCTAATATAATGGTTCTCAACCATGAGTGATTTTGTACCCCCAGGGGACACTTGGCAATGTCTGCAGTCATTTTTGGTTGTCACGACTGAGGAGAAGGCAGTTGCTCCTGGAATCTAGTGGATAGAGGCCAGGAATTTTGCCAAACATCTTACAAGGCACAGGATAGTCTCCCACAACCACTATACTGCCTGAAATATTAATAGTTCTGGGGTTGAGAAACCCTACTCTAATACAATGCCTAAATACAAGGAATACGGTAGCATCTTGATAAATGTGTATCGAATGGATGAGTGAAGTTTGGGGAACAAAAATGTGATTTGGAGGCAGAGACATGGTTTGGGAGACAATCTCATAAAGGAGTTGCAAGAAAGCCTGGCATTCAGCCATTTGGTGTCAGCATGACACCAAGACTAGTAGTGTTTGCCCTGTTCAGGTATCCAGGAAGATTGGTCTGTGCCTAGTTCATTTGGTTGCTAAATATTTTGAATAACATTCCTGGAAGGTGGTATATTTTTTAGAAGTTCTAGGTAATTGCTTCTGGAAATAAGTTGTCTTAGAAACTTCAGGAAGGGGAAATAGACTGACTTAGGCTTTGGAGAGTAAACAGGAAATGGAGTAAGAAGTGGCTGTGAATAAATCATATTGTTATGGCAGGGATAGAAAAAGTTTACCATTCTGGTGAAAGGGAAAATAAGAGCAATCTATTTCATAGTTCCTCAGTCTAAGGCAAAGCAACAGTCTCCCAAATAGGGAATTAGTAGGGGAAAAGTGAAAAGTAAAATAAAACAAGTTAAAGTGGTTACATGACAAAGGAAAATATGTTATTTTCTGCAATGGGACATTGTCTTAGTCCATCCAGGCTACTATAAAAGAATACCATACACTGGGTGGCTTATAAACAACAGATATTTATTTTTCACAGTTCTAGAGGCTGAGAAATCCAAGGTCCAGCACTGGCAGACTCAGTGTCTAGTGAGGGCCCACTGCCTAGTTTATAGATAGGTGTCTTCTCACTGTGTCTTCATGTGGTCTAAGAGGCAAGGGAGCTCTCTGGTGTCTTTTGTACAAGGGCATTAATTCCATTCACGGAGGCTCTACCTTCAGGATCTAATCACCTTGCAAAGGCCCCACATTGGGAGATGGATTTCAACATATGAATTTTGGGGGGACACAAACATTCCATCTATAGCAGACATCTTTCAGAAATTGTAAGAGTAGCCCAAATAAAGAAAGCATGGGAGCTGCCTCAAAGGTAACTGGTTAAATAAACAATGGTACCACCTTATTATGGAATATTATGTAACAGTTAAAAAGAATATGATAACTCTGTACCTACTAACAGGGAAAATCTCTAAGGCATATTGTTAAGGAGATAAAACAAGCAGAAAATACACTATAATACTTTGGCACTATTTCTTTCAAAGAAAAATCCCTCAAAACAACTTTGTAAATTAAGATATATACAAGAACAAAGATGAATAGGAAAAGGCTTTGAGTGATATAGAGCAAATTGATCATAGTGGTTGTCTCTAGATAGGGGAATAGAATAGGGAGGCAGTGGTCAAGGGGGCCTTTAACTTTATGTGTACCAATTACATTTTTACAAGAATGTATCCATGTGGTATCTGTAGAATTAAAAATATACACAGTGGGAAAACAGAAAATCCATAGACCTAGTGCAGATGTGCAGAAGAATTTTGCAGTCATTTTTGCTTCAAAGAAAGATTTACTACCAGATTCCTGTAAACAGCAACCTTGACTCACAAACGATTTGTTCCCTGCTGCCTTAGGGTAGGAGATGAGGCCTAGTAGCCAGCTAGGCCCAATGCTAAATAAGGAAAGAGAGAGGAATGATTAGGACATATGACCATCAGGGCTTTTTTAAACCAGGTTTGTCAGTGCTGGGTTGGCTGTCCAACCTTTTATTTTCACCCAGAGACCTCAGGTAGTTAGGTCCTGCAGCCTGTCTCCTGTAGCATGCACAGGCCCTGAAAACCTAGGGACTTCATGAAGTGTCCTCACTTTGCCTTATCACTCTGCTAATTGGCTAAGCACTGTGCAGAGGAGCTTGAGTGGGAAGTCTGTGCCGTGTGCAGGAGGTCCTTGGGTCAGGGCCAGGAGTGTTCTAGTCTCCTGTTGGACTGGCTTAATAATTTGTGTTCTTGTTCACCTTACAGAATACAAAGAAGTCTTGAAACTCAGAAATTAGTTTAGTAACAAACTAAAAAAATTGTGGATTTTCTTCCCTCCAGTATGCATTAATAAAAATAATCCACTATCCATGTCTCAACAATTTAGTCATATGTTTTAAAATAATCTCCTAAATATCTACCTAAACAATGACCTATTGGACCATGCCATATTTATTGTGTTAGCAAAACAAGTCATTTTCTTACAATGTCTGTTTGAAGTCCTTCAATATTTCATGTGGAGACATGAGTGCAATTAATTTTATGTGCATGGGCCTTGCCCAGGGAGGATGGGACCGGCTTACTGGGCAGATTGGTATGGCTTGGGACTGAGAGATATTATTAGGTGACTGGCCCTGAGGTCTCAGGACTCCTTAATAAACCAATGTTTGGAAACCTAACACTCATGTGATAAACTAGGCTCCCACTTATCTCTCTCACTTTTGTCTTTTGCCCCTACCTGGCCCCACATTTCTCCTGGTCAACTTTCACTTATGTTTGATTTACCTAGGGAAATAGGATTTAGGAGACAAAGATGGGAGTGGGGAAGGCATAGATTTTTTTATAAAGGGTATGGATTTTCATCTGTTTTGTTCATTATGTATTTTAAGTATCTAGAGCAGTTCCTGTTACACAGTAGTCGCTGTGAATATTTGTTGAATGTACAAATGAAATTACAAATGTCTAGGGTGTTCTAGTAACAGCAAGGAGGCCAATGTGAATAGAATTAGTTGAGCAAGGAAAAGAATGATAGAAAGTGAAATCAGGGAAATATGTAAAGGCTAGTGGTTCACATAGGGTCTTTTAAGCTATAGTACAGACTTGTGATTTTTATTTTAAGCATGATGGGTATTGTTTGGAAGGTTTTGAGCAGTTATGTGACATAACAATAGCTAATATTTATGGTTCCAGGCACTATGCTAGGTGTGTTGGGTGTATCAATTCATATAATCTTCAAACAAATCTACAATATAGCTACTAATATTACCTTTGTTGTAAGGAAGACAGAAAGTTATACAAAGAGATTAAGTTTCTTGGTAAGGTCATACAGCTAGGAAGTTATGGATCTGGAGTTTGAATTATGGCAGTCTAGCTCTGGACTTACACTCCTAGTCTGCTTTGTACTGCCTTTTTGTACATCTGCAAATGATTTGATTTACGTTTTAAATGGCTCCCTCTGGTCACTTTGTTTAGAGCAGATCATACGAAGGGGAAGTGGAGGCAGGGAGACCAGCTGTTGGAGTTTACATGGCAAGAGATAATGGTGGCTTGGTAGAGGAGATGAAGAGGAGACAAATTCTGCATTTATTTTGAAGGCAGTTTGCTGACAGACTGGATGCGGGGTATGAGAGAAAGAGAAAAGTCAAGGATGTTACTAAGATTTGAAGAAAATATATAAATGATTTTTAAAATGATTTAGCTATTGTTGACATAGAAATTCCTGGTGTGCCTGTAAGCACTTACTTTCTTCAAAGTGGACACCAGTGGATGCCTAGTTCTTGATGACAATTGAAACCCCATGGATGACTCAACTTAGTGCTGTGTTTCATGCTTGATCATCCATATGTGAATTGACTATTTTGGAAATGGTACCTCCCCCTCCTCTCCACTGGTCTTCTTGGCCTTGAGTATTTCTCTCCAACATTAGGGGTGGTATTTTAAAGAAATTCTGAATAGTTTCTCTTGTCACTGTCTCACCTTACCTGGTTCAGAATTTTTGGGAGAGGTTAAGTAAGCTTCACTAATGGCATAGTGTTTGGAGTGCTGTGTCCTGATAGTCAATGATGGTTCAAGACTACTGTTCCTACCACTCCAACTTTGCCACACTACATTTGGGCCTACATTTCAATCATTCTTTGCTCTCTGTGTTGACTATCTTCTTTGTGTGCCCCAGTTTTTAGGTCTTTTAGTCCAACTTTGACATCTGGATTTAACTGCATCCAATTGAATCTGCTTTATTCCCTAAATTTCAACTTTTCTTCTCCCCTAACTTGGTCTTAGAACCTTGTCTATTGATGTATACCTTTAGTAAGCCATTATGGAAGCTACTGAAAACACAGGTCAATAATTTTGACCCCCAGTGTGTGGCTAGGCACCAACCAGCCCTTGAAGCTCTAGGCCTTTCTCTACACTCATACATATTCTGTATCCCATTTCCTGAGCTCTCCTCTGGGGTGGATTTAATCCTTGAATCTGTGCTGAGCTCCCAATGTGTTTGTATTTGATTCATGCCGGGCAGTGTTTATATTTAGAGAATAGAATATCCATAAATTTTTTTCATCCTAAAGGGAATGCTGGCACCATTTGAAGAAAGGTAGGTTACCTCATACACTTTGAAAGATTTGTTCTCATTATCAACAAACTGATAAAGTGTCATAGAACAGTGATTTTTTAAACTTTTAAAAGTTGGATAAAATTTTCTATTTGAACCATTTGAAGTGTATTATTTGGTGACATTAAGTACATTCACGCTGTTGTGCAACCATCACCAATTATCCATTTCAAGAATTTTTCCATCTTCCCAAACTAAAATTCCATACCCATTAAACAATATTTCCCCATTACACTTTCCCACCAGCCCCTGGCAACTACCATTCTACTTTCTGTCTTTATGAATTTGATTAGTATAGTTATCTCATATAAGTAAAATCATACAGTATTTGCCCTTTTGTGTCTGGCTTATTTTACTTAGTATAATGTCTTCAAGGTTTATCTCTGTTGTAGCAGGTATCAGAATTTCCTTCCTTTTAAAGGCTGGATAATATTCCATTGTAGATATATATTACATTTTGTTTATCCATTTATCATTGGCTATTGTGAATAATGTTGCTATGACTATGGGTGTAGAAATATCTGTTTGAGCCCCTGCTTCTAATTCTTTTGGGTATATATCCAGAAGTGGAGTTGCTGAATTATGTAGTAATTTTATGTTTAATTTCTTTTCAGGAGCAACCATATCATTTTCACAGCAGTTGCACCATTTATATTCCTACCAGTAATACACAAGGGTACCAATTTCTCCATATCCTCACCAACACTTGTTATTTTCTACTTTTTTATTTATATCCATCCTGATATAGTATCTCACTATGGTCTTCACTTGCATTTCCCTAATAATTAGTGATGATAAGCATCTTTTCCTGTGTTTATTGGCTATTTGTGTATCTTCTTTGAGGAAATGTCTATTCAAGTCCTTTTCCCATTTTTAATTGGGTTGTTTGTATTTTTGCTGTTGGATTTTCAAACTCTTTTAAATTGTATGACTCTGTGTTTAAATGGAATATTTCAACTCAATGTATAAAACAGATTAAAACAAAGATGCCCTGGGTACAGTTGGAGAAGAGATGGAGCCTACCTTTTCACTTTTTATTTCCATGGCAGTTCCTGAGAAAGCTCCTTGACACCCCTAATGCTGTATCTTAGCTCTTTTGAAAAACTACTGCCCCTTGGCATTTAGAAAGGAATCCATGCTTCAGAATATCTGAGGAGACATAGATATGCATAGATAGAGTCACCTCTATGTTTTGCCAACTTCAAATATTGGCCACGACAAGAGAAAATGTGGTGCTTTTTACTGGAGCATGTTAGTATTATTTTGTCACTTAGTTACAAAGACACACATAGCTATCGATCCTTCCACATATCAAGGGAAGCTCATAAATTATTGGGGAAATGTCAACAAAAATGAAGAAAATGACAGAAACTCTTCCAGTCCCAGAGAAAGACATTATTTGCAAATTCATGTCCCCCAGCATCAGGAAAATCCCCAGAGGCAATAGGAATTTGTGAGAGCAAATAAGCCACTGATCATATTGCTATTTATCACAGTTGCTCAATTCTGCTTCAGCCTTCAGACCTTGTTGAATCAGGAGAATTTTTTTAAATAAGAATTTGTGGGGCTTAAAGGGATTTTTGAGTTCCAAAGTAAAGTTCTGAGAATAGTTCTGTTATTCTCAGCTGGCCCTCAGCCAAATGGTTAAGGCCCCTTTGAGGGTCCTACTCCTTGCTTTGGGTGATAACCTCCCAAGATTTTCATGTTGTCTGTGTAGGGTACTCCCACCCATTCTCCATTGGAATTCTCCATCCCATGCCATCTTGTGAAGCAAATTTCCCTTCATAGACAGACCACTTCTGTTTGTGAGCAAATGGGAGGCCAATCAAGATTATAGTACTTTACTTGAGTTCTGAACAACGAGAAATTAAAAGTAATCCAAAGATAACCTAAATTATCACCTTAAAGTCTAGGGTGAAGTACACCCTATATAGATCTATGAGCAAGTGGGCTTTCCATTACTGTGATCCTGTGTTAGAGAGACTTACCCCCTCTCTCACAGCCTGTGCCATTTCAGTATCCTCTACAGGGCCAGGCCCCTCTCACTGTTTGGCAGAAAACAGAGCAGATCACAGCTCCTTTGTAGTCTGCCATATCCCAAGAAGAAGATGTTTGGACAGAACTATGCATCCACATTTCCTTGTCCCAGGCTTTACAACCAGTTAAATTATTTCTCAGTCTCCTCCTCCCTATAGGTATATCGCAACATATGGAAAGAAACATCTGGAGTGGGAAGAAGAGTCTCCCCTGATACTACCCAGTTTATTCTTCTCTTAACTCACTAAGTTTAACTGTTGAGCAATCTCTGTAGAGTGGGGAGGTCAGAAGTTTATGACAGTCCTATTCCCACCTTGATGAAGCTACTTCCCCAATAATCACTGGTCTGCTGCTGATGGGGAATGTACATGGTAGTACACTCAGAAGGCTCTGAAATGTGTCTGAAGACTATATTTAATTAAATTAATATCAAGATCATGCCATGTCCAATGATAAAAATTCATTCTCTATTCTATTAACCTTTTCTTTTCTTTTTTTTTAAATTTTTTAACGTTTATTTATTTTTGAGACAGAGAGAGACACAGCATGAACGGGGGAGAGGCAGAGAAAGAGGGAGACACAGAATCGGAAGCAGGTTCCAGGCTCTGAGCCATCAGCCCAGAGCCCGACACGGGGCTCGAACTCACAGACCGTGAGATCGTGACCTGAGCTGAAGTCGGATGCTTAACCGACTGAGCCACCCAGGCGCCCCACTATTAACCTTTTCAAATGATGTCCAGCTACATTGTCTTAAGTCATCTATCAGATGATATACAGTGTGATCAAAGGACAACATTAAGACACTGTAATAATAATGTGCAACAGTAAGATGCCACTTATTTGAGTACAGCCTGCCATTATCACAATTATAAGGGGACATTTAAGTCCAAATATTAAATTCCCTTGCACTTTTCAGTGGAAGTCCAGAGAAAGTCCAAATTTCTTAAAATCCAAAAAATTAAAGTTCAAAATAAAGCTTTCTTGCTCTTATGAGTAAAAGTTCAAAGAAATTAAGGACCAAAATGTATCCTCCCTATCTCCTCATTCTGCTCAATCCTAACTAGAAAGGTTCCCAAGACCTGTGTCCAATTGGGATTGATCTTCAGCAATTTTAGCCTGTGCTATTACTTACTGGAATGGGCATGGTCACTTCTGGGCCCCAAAGTTTGTATTAGTTCATTGCCAAGTCTCTGATGTTACACAGAGTTCAAAGAATTAATAGAACCTACAAGATAATCATATCACTGGCCCCATAATTTTCAATTAAAAAACAAGCTATGATAGCTACCTTGTGGCTCACATTGATCCCTACTTCCTACAATTCACCCTTTTTGGAATCCTTTTCCTTGTATGTGGGCTGGACCTAGTGTCTTACTTCCAACAAACAGAATATGTCATAGTGATGGGGTATCACTTTAATAATTAAGTTACAAAAAACTGTGACTTCATGTTTCTAGTACTTTCTCCCTCTCTGGCTCTTTTCACTTGTGTGAACTGATAGCTGCCATGTTGTGAGCAGCCCTAGGAAGAGGCCCATGTGGCAAGGAATGAGGACCTCAGTCCAACAGTCTGAAGAACTGAATTCTGACAACAGCCATGTGAGTGAGCTTGGAAGTGGATCCTCCCCCTTGAGGTGAACCTTGAGGTGATTTTAACCTTGGAAAATACTTTGGAACCTGTGAAGGACCCTAACATCGTAGATCCAGCTAAGCTATATCTGATTCCTGACCTACAGAGGTTGTGAGATAAATGTTTTCGTTTTAAGCCACTAAGTTTTGGGGTAATTTGTTATGCAGTGATAGCTAATACACTGGCTAATACCTAAAGAAGTTATTCTGTACAAAATTATATTGACCATATCTAGTACTCAGAATTGCTATATATTGTGGTGAACTCAATGTTATATGAAAATTAAATAATAGATGGAAGGTATCTTGGTTTTAGCTTTGCTAGGGGTGCCAGTCTACCCAAATATCGGGAGTCCATGATCTATGAACGTCAATCCAATTTGGAGAAATTTCTCACTAAGTAGTTAATTTTGGCCTTGTGTATTTAAAATCCAATTGCATAATTATAAAAACTAGACTCTTGGCCTAATGTAAGCCTCTACAAACTGCCAACTTCAAAATATCTTGTCTATATACTGAAGTCCAAGATCTATAACCATGTGCCCTGGCTCCACCCAGAGATCCTTCTCATGTTATTTTAGTCTGCTAATTCTAATTCTAGTCTACTTCTCTATGGTCTTGGTCTAATGTGTCAGGTGTTTGGATTGAAGGAAGTTCAACGAATAAAACCTTGAATTCTAAATCAATAGATACTTAGGAAAACAATAGAAAGGCAGATGGGAAATGAAAATAACCCATTTAATCCCAATTAAGCTGATATTTAAAAATGTAGCTTATATCTGTGGATAAGTGAGCTTCTTAATACTGCATCCCAGTCTTGTTTACACAGAGGTAGCACTAGACCATCACATTGCCCCTCCCCTCTCTGTACATATTTATGTTCCTATAACACTTTCTGCATGGAAGGGCAGAACAGAACATACATTCTGTGTAGATAGCTTTCTCCCAAGACCAAGAGTAGATAAAGGGGCTGGGACAAATGCAACAGGCTTTTTCTGACCACTTCAATGACTTCCATCTTCCTGAGAAAAAGTGATGGGGAAGTCGTGGAAAGCAACATCAGAAGTGAGGAAATGTATTCTCTGCTTTCCATAGTTATCAGATAAGGCTGATTAAAACCCTATCAAGGTAATAATTAGTGGTTATCATTCATAGTCATTCAGGGTCTAGTGTAAAGTAAGAAGATGCTTAGAGTTGGGGAAGGCCAAAAGAGCTGGCTCTTGGCAAAATTGTTTAATTGATGATGTAATTTTATGTCATACCACAAGTCTTTTCAGCACTTGCTCCACCTCCCCCACCCCCAAACTCCAGAATCCAGGACCTCTGTCAGACTTACATCCATTGGTAATGTTCAAACGCTGTGGCTGTATCAAGATCAGGCTCCTTCTTGATGAACCAATATATACATACTTCTCTTTTGGGGCAATACCTTTTAATCAACACTTCTGTGTTTTACTCCAAGAGAATGAATTTTAATACCACATGCCAGGCTAATGGGGAATTATAAACATAGACAGCCACTTCTAGTGAGGCTGACCCTGGTTTGTACTTAAAGTTTTCTGAATTAATTGTCCTATTGTTTGTCTTATACCTTTGACTTAAAAAGCAGACTTTAGCCAGGATCCATGGAAATTTTCCATCTTGGATAAAACCATTTCTTGTTTAGAAGACTTGTACTGCCCCATAGCCAAGAAGCTTCAGCTTTGGGTTCATTGAAAAGTTACCAAGGATAAAAACCTCCCCCAGTGAAAGAGATTATAAATTGAGGAATAAGGTCGCATTCTGTATTGTCAATTTCACTTGGATGAACATACGACACAGCCCTTTGTCTTATACAAAAAATCTTTATCAATGTTGGATTAAAATATAAAAATCCACAGCAGCCAGATACCCTAGCCAGGATATTCTGCTCCTCTGGAAAAGATCAACTTACATCTAAAAGATTTTATCACTTCTTGTGCACCATAAGGGTGTTCAGAAATGACTATGGCAAATCAAATATTATCAGAAAAAGAAGGTTCTGACTGATTTTGTCCTGTATTCAGCCTTTTTATGTTTATCAATTTTGAGAAGCGCAGAGGTATTTTTTTCACATTTCTGACAACACCTGTGCTCCCCTTCTCGTGCAT